AAGGTCCGAGGCAATAATGACCGGAAGGGTTTGCTTTGGACCAAGGAACACATACTTGAGATGGGCCGGGAGCGGCTTAAGCTCAAGTTGTGGCGGAGATAACAATGATGGGACCGGAGGAGTGGTGGAAAGTTGGGGAAGTGGTTCCTTTGGAATTTTCCAAGGAGGTACATCCATGCTAGCATTAATATCAAGCAAGGAATTGACTTCTTGAATGGCTTGATCAACATCAAAGTTTGAGAAGTCAAAATGGGACATGCAAGTTTCAAGAGGATCTTTGCTTAGAATGAAGGGGAGAGATTCTTTGACCACTTCATCAATGACATCCACAAGAAAACAATCATCCTCATTAGAGGGATGTTGAGTTGCATGAAAGATGTGGAGTTTGACTTGCATGTTTCCAAAAGCAATGTCCATCACCCCGGTTCGGGAATTAGTTGATGCATTAGCCGTGGCTAAAAATGGCCTACCAATGATCATGGGAATGTGCTTTTTTGGGTCATGGACCGGTTCTGTATCAAGAACCACAAAATCTACCGGGAAGTAGAATTTGTCCACTTTGATGATAACGTCCTCGAGAATACCTCGTGGATGCTTGACTGATCTATCGGCAAGTTACAAAACCACGGAAGTCGGCTTAAGATCTCACAAACCAAGTTGTAGGTAGACTGAGTATGGAATTAAATTCACACTAGCTCCTAAGTCAAGGAGGGCCCTCTCGATTTTGCTGTCACCAATGACGCAAGAGATTGTGGGGGCACCCGGATCCTTATACTTCGGAGGAGTGCTGTGTTGAATGATAGCACTAACATTTTCAGTCAACCTCACTTTTTTTGGCAAATGATCTTTAGAAGTGCGCTTTTGAGTGCACAAATCTTTGAGAAATTTTGCATAGGGAGGGATTTGCTTGATAGCATCCAAGAGGGGCAAGTTAATCTTCACTTGCTTGAAAACTTCCCACATGTCTTGAATTTTACAATTCTTGTTCCCAAAATGTGTCGACTCTTGAAGACGTTGAGGAAACGGAGCTTTTGGCTCATAAGTAGCTTCCACATTTGGGGTGACATGTGTGGGATTTCCGTGAATGGTATTTGGATAAGAATTTGGATTAGAAGAGCTTGAATTTGGATTAGAAGAGCTTGGATTCAGATTTTTCAAAGGAGAAACTTCCTCACTTTTGTCTCCATCGACCTTATTGTCAACCACTCTACCACTCCGAAGGGTGGTGATAGCTTGAACTTGTTCATGAGTCGGCCCACTCGGATGAGGGGTTTCGTCAATCACATGCATTCCTCTAGGATTTTCAAAAGGTTGAGAGGGAAGCTTGCCCTTGTCCTTTTGAAGCAATTGATTCACTGAGTTAGCTATTTGGCCCACTTGATTTTCGAGATTAGCTATGGACTGAGTATGAGAGTGAACCATTTGGAGAGTAGGCTGCAAGGATGTCAAGAGTTGCTTGTTGGCATCCATTATTTGCTTATTTAATGATTCCATCATTTGCTTGTTTGCAACTACTATCTCGTCAGTCGGACACACAGGAAGTTGATTGGAGACATTTGGATTGTAAGGAGGACGGTAGCTTGAAGAGGCTTGAAAAGGTCTACCTTGATATTGAGAAGAGGGCTGATTTTGCCACCCTTGGTTTTGGAATTGGGAATTTTGTGGGGCTTGTTGCCGCCACGAGAAATTCGGATGATCTCGCCAACCCGGATTGTAGGTGTTGGAATATGGATTGTTCCCGGGCCGCGAGAACATGGCATTAGCTTGCTCTTGGTTGGGATTGGGAAATTGCTCCGGTGTGGGGCAATCTTCCGAAAGATGGAATGGACTAGTACATGAAGCACAAACTGAACTTGCCGAATTTTGAGACAATGAAGGAGGAAGATGTGGTGCCATCAATTGGTAGAATTTATGAGCGATGGCATCCACTTGAGATAATTCCTCCCTTATTGATTTTGGTTGATAAGGGTTGGTGTTGTTTGGAGTGGTTGAGGTCGGAGCCCTACGAGAATTGTGTTGAAGTGAATTTTCACTCAAATTCTCAAGTAAGGTCCAAGTCTCATCCAAATTCTTGGACATGAACATCCCACCACACGAAGAGTCAACCATGAATCTATGGGTTTCGGTCAAGCCAGCATAGAAAGCTTGCACTAATTGCCATTTTGGGATCAAATGATGAGGACATTTTCGAAGAAGATCTTGTAGCCTTTCCCAAGTCTCGTGGAGTTGTTCTCCATCAACTTGAGAAAAGCTTAGAATAGAACGCCTCATTTGGTTGGTTTTACTCACCGGATAATACTTCTTAAGAAATTCTTGTTGCAATTGAGCCCAAGAAGTAATAGAGTTGGGAGCGAGGGAGTTCAACCAATATTTTGCCTATCCTTTAGGGAGAATGGGAAAAGATGGAGATGAAGTGCATTGTCCGGAAAACCTCTCAACCGGATGGTCGAGCAGATTTCAAGGAACTCATCAAGATGCTTGTATGGATCTTCATTATCAAAGCCATGAAATGATGGAAGCATTTGAATGATACTAGACTTGATCTCATATTGAGCTGCATTGATGTTTGGCATCACTATACAAGAAGGAGAAGCATAGGTGGTAGGAATGAAATGATCTCTAAGAGTCATTGGTTCTACATTAGGAATTTCAGCCCTTTCATTCCCCGGATTTCCTACGTTATCCCCCATTATATTGAATTCAGTTTCAAGATCCCTTGTAAGAATGGGTTCCCTAAGGTTCCGTCTAAGAGTTCTTTCAAGTGAATTTATATCAATAGGCGAGTCAAGTGTGGGTAGAGAGAGTGACCTACGGCCAAACATCAACAATTCACAACAACATCATCACAACAAATCTTTATCATCAACTCCACATACGATGTTCCCTTTCTCCTCAATTATCAAGACAGAAAATAAATGGCCACGACAAGGACCGATGCTTGGAATTGAAAATACACAATTGAAATAGCCTCGACAAGGGCTTGCAATTTATTAACTTCTAAGCTTAACACATGCACGATATTCACAATTCGAAACTAGAAGTCACGAGACTTACCTGGGGTCCTCTAGACTTACAATTTGCTAGCAATCCCACGGTAAGCTTCGAGTCCCTAGAATCTTACAACACGAAGATGATCAAAACACACAAGGAATATTCACAAGACACAATATGCACAATCAAACTAAATTTAACCCTAAACTTTGGTTGCTAAACCATTTGCAAGTCCCCGGCAACGGCGCCAAAAATTGATCGGTTGATCAACTATACATCAACCTTCGCAATAGCACGAATCATTGTAAAATAGGGCTATTGGTCGGGTAAGTCGAACCACTGGGACTGCGCTAGTCTATGGCAACCTAAGAGTCTAGACTACTTTTAGAATGATGAGGGGTATATAGAGTTTTGTTGGTTTGTCACTTATACTATGAATTGAAATATGCATTAATGAAAAACTTGCAAGAATTTAAGAGATGAAAGATGAGCAAAGAAGACTAAGGAAGTGAATCCGCCTCCATCCCTATACACATGCTAGATTAGACCTAAATTAGGGGAAAAACAACATATGGTGGTCAAAAACTACATAGCAACACATAGTTGCCATGTAAGTAATCAAGAGGTACATTAGGTCTCAAACAAGTATAATCCATCAAAAGGGTAAACATGTTGAGACTACCTAACTACGGTGTAGCTTATACACGTTTACTTAAATGAAAGACTATCAAATTCTTGACAAAATGATGAAGCACATGGAGCTAGAGATTAAGCATACACCATCAAAGGATTTCCTAAGCAATGGTCTATCAAAGTCACCTATCAACATGCCATTAAATCATTTCATAACCTTGTTTCCATTCTCACCATGTAAACTCAAGTAAAAAGATTAATACAAGACATCACCTAACATAAGATAATGAGCTTGAAGAAATCATCCATACTTATATAAACATTCATTACACCAAATGAAGTGCTCTTAGCTATGAAAAATACCGTAAATATACATTGCAATCCCCTAATATAGACTACCCTAGGACATGCTTACAAGGGAGGGACTTCATCACCTCCCTAGAGAAAGAGTTAGTTACCCATTGCTAAGCTAGAAGAAGGAAGAAGCTCCATCTTCATGGCCATTTTCGTGCAACCTTCTTGGAGCTTGAAGAACACCCTCTTTTGCTCTCTTTTCTCTCCTCTAATCTTGTAGAAAATGTAGGATAGCAAATGTGTGGCCTTTGGTTGCCTTTTATCCTCCAACAAAACCCTCTCTCTCCTCCAAGGAACACCTCCAACCACTTCATAAAGAAGGAAGATGGCATTCAAGAAACCAATGTGCAAGTGGCTGAAATTGAGCCATTTCCGAGTGCAATCTGCCTGATTTTCGAGCACTCAAAAAGTGGTCTCGAGCACTCTAAATTAGTGTAATGTGCAACATGCTCTTCTTGCTTAGCACTGACCTACTTTGGTAAAACTGCTATAACTTTGTGCCCCGAACTCTAAATGATGATCTGTTTGAAGATTTGGAGAGTTGATTCAGTGCTTTAAAAACTTCATGCTTTGATGAAGACCCAATTCCCAAGTCTGGTTGGTCGAAAATGGGGAGAAAGGCAGTACTTCAGTGCTGCCAGGCAGGTCTGCTCACCTCTGTTAAGAAGATCATAACTCTCTACTCCGAACTCCAAATGATGAACCGCTTGAATATTTGGAAAGCTGATTCAGAGATCTAAATCTTTCATGTTATAATGGAAGTCCAGTTCTTGAGTTTACTAGGTCAAAAATGGCGACAAAATTCAGGTTCTATTGCTGCCAGAAATTCAGAATTGGCACCCTTTTTGTTCAAAATTCCACAAGGCATCATTTTTGCTTCCTTTTTGCACTTTAACCTGAAAATGCATAAAAACATGCAAATGGAGTTAATCTACATAAAATAATCAATTAATGGACTTTGTTAATGTAATTTAGGGCGCTTGAATATACAGTATTCAGCGCTTATCAAGTGCCATTTAGCAATATCATGGTGTGGACATTTTCTCAGTAGATCATTATACCTTTCCCATGAATCATGGAGTTGTTCACCCAGGATTTGGGAGAATGCCGTGATCTCTCTTCTCATTTGTGTGGTTTTACCCACAGTATAATACTTTTTTCAAGAATTCCTATTGGAACATGTCCCATATAGATATGGAATAGTTGGTAGGGCATGCAACTAGGTTCTTGCTTTGTCCTTGAGAAAGAACTGAAAAAGTCGCATCTTAAATGCATCATCTGAAATAGTGGACAACTTGGTAGTTAAACACAATTCCAAAAACACATCCAAGTGCTTATAAGGATCTTCTGTTGCAAACCTATGGAATGTAGGAAGCATTTGGATCATAGCAGGCTTGATCTCAAAGTGGGTTGCATTAGCATCCGGGAATCGATAGCACGAAGAAGATGTATATGAGTGGGAATGAAATGACCCTCAATTGTGGTTGTGGTGGAGGAACAGGTGCCTATAGCACATGTGCTCCATTTGGTGGTGTATTATCACCAGCCATGTTTTTCCTAGAGGAATCTCCTAACAAGTTCAAATTCTTTTTAGGTCTTCTAATTTGCTTAAGAGTTTTCTCTAGTTCAGGTTCATATTCAAGTATTGGTTTTAATAAAGAACAGCGACCTAACATGCACTAAATCCAATTGCACAAGCAGTAACAAAAACAAAAATTTTAAGTAAAGAAAACAACAAAAACTCACAAAAGGTCCTGAAACCGAAGCTTTTTTTCCTTAAGCGTCTTCGTCCTCGCTGTTAAATTCTTGCACTTGAAAAGAAAAAGAAATAAGGTGAGATATCAAAAAGTCCGAAAACTTATAATCAAAACACAACTAATTGTAATCAAATTAAACAATAAATCTCCTGAGCAACGGCACCACAAATTGAAATGTGTCAAAATATACCACTCGTAATAACACGAATCCTTGTAGAATATGGCTATATTAAGGGTGTCGATCCCATAAAGAGATGAGTGTTTACTTTTAAGTTCAATTAATCCAATTTCGATTCAGATATAAAAGATCTTTTGATTGGTTGGTTGTCACGAACATAAAATAAAATAAAACTAAATTAAAGTAAAGAGATCAGAGAAAGAAAATCTTAGGGATTAACTTCACCACGAACTTCGTATTATGATCAATAGTTCAACCTAGGTATTTCAACAATTTATGTACTATATGAATTAAACTCAATAACATTCATTTAATTCAGTTTTAAAGAATTATGTTTCATGAATTTCAACTAACTATAATCTATCTTGGGTTAGCATGAACTGTGACAAACCGGATTTTTTTAAGAATTGAAATTCAATTATTTTATAATTTTTAGTTGTTAAAATTAATTATTTTATTTTAATTAGAGACTTCCCAATTAGAGATTGGCTCATTGATTATTAAATTGGAGACTGATTCATGTTTTTCAATTTAATGAAATTGATTTTTTAGCATCTAGGGGAGAGAAGTCATGGGTGCCGAAATTGGTGAAAGGAAACTTGATTGGATTTTTGTAACGACTCGGTCATTTGCCTTCCTTTCCTTTTTCCTGAAATTTTACGAATGAATTTTTTTCGTTTAATTTTCCTTTCTGAGCTCTGTTTCGTGTCGCTTAGTGTCATCTCGAGTACTCGAAATTAGTTTCTGAGACTCTTTCATGTGAATTGACAACTTCCTTTGAGGACTGAGTCATTTTCGCATTTTTCGTTTTTAGACACTATGCGCTATTTCGTCTTTTCCCTATTCTGTCTTTTCCCCATTTGTCACATTGTTGGCACAACCTCACTTCTCATGCTCGGAGTTGGTTTTTGACTTCACGTGCCTTCATCTTGAGTGGTTTCCACGAAATACGTATCTTTACTTTTACAAGAAAGTACTATGGTTGCTCCCGGTGTCCATAGGGGCATGGATGCAAAGTTCTTTGAAATTATTTTATTTTCTTGGGGTGTTTTTCGTAAATATCTTTTGAAGATATTTTATTTTAGGGGTTTTTAAGAAAATATTTTAGGAAGATATTTTCATTCTGGGTCATAAGTGTAGTTTTCACTTTTTGGGGGGGCCATTGTGCAATTAATGAAAGTTATTGCAAAATGTCTTGTTTTGAGCCCGGATCGTAATACGGGATTCATTTTCACATTTCGTCGAGTTGTGTACTCTTGGAATTTCCTCCTGGTCGATGTTTTCCAGTTTCAGGGTTCTGGCCCCAATTTTTGCCAAACTTTTTTTAGGCATAACTTTCTGCTCGGGACTCGGTTTTTGATTCCGTTTCTTCTGTTATTTATATTTTATCATTTTGAATCTTTTTTGCTCACAAAGTTTTGCCATTTGAGTGTGTCTGCTCAAATTTTACTTTTTCGACCCGGCGGGGCCTATTCGGGGCACTTTTTGAGATTTCTATAAAAGGGGGGTGAGATATTTCATTTTTCATCTTCTCCCCTCTTCATGCACGACCTAGAGCTCCCATGGCAGCCCAAGGGGTGCTGCCATCTTCTCTCTCCTCTTTTGGTTCACTTTTCCTTGATGAAAAGTCTTCGGCCTTAACGTTTGTTGTTCCCCTCGCCGTGCTCTACCTTTCCCCCTTATTAGAATTCAGTTTTGACCATTTCTTGAGTTTGGTTTTGAGGTCAAGTTATGATTTTGATGGGGCTTTGATGGGGGTTATGTTCACGGTGTTGTCCCCGACAAAACCTCTTGGTATCGTCGAATTCGGAGCACTTTTATTTTGGTGGGCCTTTAGGATTTTCATCTCAAATTGAGGTAAGGGATGTTCTAGGTTTAAATTCTTGTTATATAGCATGCTTGTGATACTTATACTACTTGTTTGCATGATTAAATATAAAATCTAGAGATTTTATTATTTATTTTTCTTGTACGGGATCTAATTTTCCCGGTTGCTCATGACTTGGTTTAAACATGTAGCATGATTTTATATTGCCCCTTGATATGCTCATTGTCGTGTATTAAAATTGGAACATTTGAATAAGTATTAAAGATTTTATTTAATATTTATCTTAGGTGAAAGATTAATTCACATGGCCTTAACTAGCTTGAAATTAATATGTATTAGCATATTATATTAGGCCTTAGCATGGTCTTCAACATAGTTGAATTTGAAAGTAATTGGAGGTGTTTTGAAAATTAGTAATTATTAATTAATTTGATTAATTAATTTGCCCCGAGTGCACTATTCACTCTATTTAAATTCTGACTTGATATTCTTGATTTACATGCCATATAGCTTCACATATATTTGATTTAGAATATTCGGTTAGGTTTTGAAACCTTTTATTTAATTAAATTTTATGTTTAAGATTTAATCGTCATGATGATATATAACTTGGAATTGTATTGTGGCATGCTAGAAAATTAAGCTTTGGTGTGGTTGTTCACATATATTAAATTGGGATTAATTGCATGAGAATTGCAACCTTTATTTTATATTTAATTTTAGTGAAAGTTTAATTCACATGGTCGTAAATTGAAGGAAATAAACTTGTAATGTGATATTTCACTAGTCTTTGACATGTTCTCTAAGATATGTTAAATTGAGAGCATTTGGTTAAGTTTGAAAATTTAGGGATTTTAATTAAAAGAATTAATTAAAATCTATTTAATGATCCCCTTAGCTTAATTAAGTTTTTAACTTGATAATTGTATTGATCATGACTTGTTACTAGCATATATTAATTTGGGACTATTAGAAGTTGTTTTAGAACCTTGGGATTTAAATTAGCATGATTTAATTAAAGTTCTACTTTGTTGTTCCAACAACCTAATTGAGTTTTAGAATGGATATAGGTGATGACCATGCCATGTCCTTTAACATATATTAAATTGAGGTTATTTGGAATTGAATCGGAATCTAGAGAATTTAATTGTGTTTATCTATTTAAATTCTTTCAATTTGCTCCATGATCTAATTGTGTTTTAAGAGTGGTTTCTATATTCAAATCATGGACTTAGACTTGTTGTATATTCATTTGGTTATGTTTTGAACATTGGATAACATAGTTGCTATGTTTGTATTCGTGATAATATGTTTTCCTTATTGAATATATTATTGCCTTGTATAATGATTTGCACACTTCGTGTTTAACATCTTTCATGCATAACGTGTAACGAATTGCACACTGAAGATTCGACATTCATCATATCATATTAGTTGTGGATTTAGAGCATGTATTGTATAGGTTTCCAAATTTGGTTGTGCTTAGTAGATAGTTGATTTATCTTGCATATTCCTGTTGATATATACGTTGTTGCACAACTTGTTGATTTTGGAAACTTGGGGATGTCGTTGTTTGACTATGGCTAGGACGTGGTTCTAGTACGGGGGATAGTCCCTCTATATAGTCTAGTGCGCACATAGGGAGGTTACCCATGGGCTAGTAACCAAAAGTAACTATGTTGTCGGTCTGATCCGGCGTGACGTCCGAGTATCCACTTTGTTTGATTTCGCATTTCATTTTCAAGTTGATAACTAGATGATGTTGTAACTTGTTGTTTCTTATTTGTCGTTCCATTTTAAGTTATAGGATGTTAACTTTGCGAAATTGTGCTTTATGTGTTGTATTGGAAGTTCCAATGTTGGTTAAATTGCACCGATATTGAAAATCGTGTTTTGACGTTCTAATAAAGCTTAGGATTGATCCTATTGATTCATTTATAACATAGACGTTAGGTGGCATGAACCACTACTGTTATTTTGTGCCTTAGATTCTAAGTTGATGGCTTTGAGAACTTAAACCTTGTTGCACTGTATAACATGCTCTTTTGTTGTTGAATTGCATGGATAATGTGATTCTTGTTAACTTGTATTCAAATATGCTTTCATCATGTTGTATGGATTACTCTAGACCTAGTTCAATTGTATTGAAAATGCAATTCATGTTAATCTATGCTCAAGCATTCTTCTTGTCGTGTTCTTAGATTATCCCAACCATGATTCGTTTCATACACGTATGTATATCATGATTCTTGTTGCTTAGACTGTAAGGTTGCTTAGGATGCTCCCCGAGTCTCACTTGGACATAGACGTTAGGTGGCATGAGCCCCTTTAACATGTTTCACCTTAAGGTGATAAATTTGTAAAATGCTAGGTCGATGCATGCTCATCTCCTATGAGTAGCTTTATGTTACTCACCCCTACGATACTGGGGCATATTTCAGGTACGAAGACTTGGTTCGTGACGCCTAGCATTCCTTGGATGTCGTGTAGCTTTCAAGTTTCCATTTCATGCAAATGTTAGCATGAAATGTCATTTTGTAGACTTATATGTCAAAATATGTATATTTGATTCCATGTATGTAATGTGTACTTAAGTACACTCCTTTCAATGTATTTGATGTGTATGAAATGAGGCCAGAGGCCAATGACATGTATATTGTATTCTATGTACTTTTTAACTTCATGAAATATTATGAAAACCTTGAAATATCGCAAGTCATTGCTTTACTATGGTTGCATCGGGTGTGGGAATTCCATTTTCATTCTTTCATAGGGTCTTATTAATCTTGTATAAAGTGTGACCAAGGGCTAAATGGTCATTTGACTCCATTTTACATTTTTGGATTCCATGTTTTCCATTCCAAGTCCATTTTTGCCTTTTAGCCCATTGGGGGGTCGGATTTTGTATCGGCTATATTTTTAAGCCATGGACCATTGCAGCGCATTTAAATAGGTAAGTTACGTTTGCGTGCATGGTCGTTTCCGGGCAAAACCTTATCGTTTGCGTTTTGAGCCTCTTGTGAATTCATTTCGCATTTTTTTTTTTTTGCATATTCTGATCTAGGGGCATTATGGACCTTTCACATCAGTTTTATTTTCTTCTTTTGACATGGTTAAATAGAAAACATGATTTTAGGGGGGGTTTCTTCTTCGTATTTTTCCAGAAAAACTCGTTTTGACCTCTGTTTCAAGCCTCAGTTCTGGGCAGATCAAAAAAAATGTAGCAGAAGCCAAGGGCTGCCACCAGCCATGTCTTTGGGCGCCGGTGGGCTCGCGCATGGGCGCCGTGTGCGCCATGGCCCCTCGTCGGGCCGCCGCGATGTCAATTCTTCTTTTGGGCTTTTCTCCTTCGTCCGAACTCCGATTCAAGTGAATTTTTTTTTTTAACTTGACTAATTTTTTGCTATCTTTCCAACGGTGTGCTCGGTTGCACCCGGTTCTTCCTGGATAATTACCAATTTACCCTTTTTGCTTTAAGTGCTCATTTTTCTTCGTCATGCCGTTTCTCCTTCGTTCGGACTCCGAATCATGCAATTCTTGAGCCCATCTTGATTAGTTTTTCGTTGTCCTTCCAGCGGTGTGCTCAGTGGCAGCCAAATCTACAGTTTTCAGAAATGACAATTTTGCCCCTGGGGGCTTATTTGTCATATTTTCGATCTTTTGCTTCCGCATCAATTCTTGTTGAGTTCCACGACCTCATGGAAGGTCACTTTGACTTTTTAGAGTCTTGTTTTCTGTTTTCGCATCCGCATTCGGATCCGTTATCGGATCATCCTTACAATTCATCACAAGATACGCTGGCCTACAAACCAGGGTCGTCAAATTTTGGTTTTTATTGCAATTGTGTGCATGATATATTTGATAAGTTGCATCTATTTGGTGAACAATGATGATCAGGTGCCGAATTTGAGTGGGAAGAGAAAGAGATTGAAATGGTATTTTGTGGGGCCACTAGGAAATGTTAATGGGTTTTATTGCATTGATATATATATATATATATATATATATATATATATGGTGTATCTATTAAAGCAAAATGGAGTGATTAATTTGTGATGATTAAGGAAAAAGTAAAAACAAAATATTGAAATTGTAATGGGGCCCACTAATTGATTCTTTGTTGGCAATTATTCTTTTTCTTGGACTCTCACGTGGCCATGTTTCTCTTTGGTAGCTGGGCGTTGTGTTTTATCAGAGACATTGTATGTTGAATAAAATGAATTGAGATGATAAGGTAAAGGACAGTGGTGGCGGGTCCACTTGTTTTTCTTTTAATTGTCCTTTGATATATTATGTCGGTAGAATGCTTTATAAATATTGAGTATCTGTTACTTGATGAGAATGATATACAGAATGAGAAAAATAGAGGAAAAATTACAGAGAGTTTAGAGATACAGAGAGTGAGCCGAGAGGGCTGAGTATTTGATGCAAGCTTGGATGATCCAGTGCGGATTTATTTTGCAGTGTGGGGATCATCATACTTTGAATGGTTTAGATAATTTTATTTCAAATATTTTGTTGATTGTTATTTTGTTAAAATTATATATATGTATTTTGTTTAAAAGCATATATATATTTTTGTGAAGCAAATTTATCATGAAACTCTTTGAAATTCTTGTTATGATTTTTGTTACTGTCTCACCCCCCTACAGTTTCAGGTACCGAGGATGAACTTGGATTGCTAGTAGCGGGCTTAGGTGGAAAAGTTGGTGTTGAGAATTAATTATTTATTTTAGAGATGTTGTATTAATTATTTGAGGAAATTGATTTTGTATCAATAAAATGATATTTCTTTTTGAGATCCTGGTGTAATACTGATGTGTTTGGATTTGTATAAATCGAGAATTTTATTTGGAATTTTCGGGACTTGACAGAATGGTATCAAAGCCTTTACCCAGTCGGAAGTGTGAGTTTAGTGATGATGTTGTTAGGTGTGTGTGGGCGAGTGTTTAGTTCTGACTAGCTACCACTCGTAGCCGGGTGTGTGTGTCCGGATGTCGTTCACTGGCAGCTACTAGAATGATTACTATCGGTGATTAGGGGCAAGTGTCCCTAGATCACTATCGGTTTTATTTTGTGGGCAGGTGACGGCATCGTCTAGTTATCACAACGGTTATAGAGTGTGTGAACGGGTAACTAGCACTGTCAGCTACCACAACATTTTTCATGTCACTAAATTTCACATCACCTAGGGTAAGGATTTTTGAATTTTGTTTTGCCACTTTTGATGTTTTCGGGTATGCGAAGATTGTTGGATCTGAATTTCGGGACGAAATTCTTTTTAAGTGGTGGAGAATGTGACAACCAGGATTTTTTTAAGAATTGAAATTCAATTATTTTATAATTTATAGTTGTTAAAATTAATTATTTTATTTTAATTAGAGACTTCCCAATTAGAGATTGGCTCATTGATTATTAAATTGGAGACTGATTCATGTTTTTCAATTTAATGAAATTGATTTTTTAGCATCTAGGGGAGAGAAGTCATGGGTGCCGAAATTGGTGAAAGGAAACTTGATTGGATTTTGGTTTTTATTGCAATTGTGTGCATGTTATATTTGATAAGTTGCATCTGTTTGGTGAGCAATGATGATCAGGTGCCGAATTTGAGTGGGAGAGAAAGAGATTGAAATGGTATTTTGTGGGGCCACTAGGAAATGTTAATGGGTTTTATTGCATCGATATATATATATGGTGCATCTGTTAAAGCAAAATGGAGTGATTAATTTGTGATGATGAAGGAAAAAGCAAAAACAAAATATTGAAATTGTAATGGGGCCCACTAATTGATTCTTTTTTGGTAATTATTCTTTTTCTTGGACTCTCACGTGGCCATGTTTCTCTTTGGTAGCTGGGCTTTGTGTTTTATCAGAGACATTGTATGTTGAATAAAATGAATTGAGATGATAAGGTAAAGGACGGTGGTGGCGGGTCCACTTGTTTTTCTTTTAATTGTCCTTTGATATTTTATGTCGGTAGAATGCTTTATAAATATTGAGTGTCTGTTACTTAATGAGAATGATATACAGAATGAGAAAAATAGAGGAAAAATTACAGAGAGTTTAGAGATACAGAGAGAGAGCCGAGAGGGCTGAGTATTCGATGCAAGCTTGGATGATCCAGTGCGGATTTATTTTGCAGTGTACGGATCTTCATACCTTGAATGGTTTGGATGATTTTATTTCAAATATTTTGTTGATTGTTATTTTGTTAAATTTGCATATATGTATTTTGTTTAAAAGTATATATATATATTTGTGAAGCAAATTTATCATGAAACTCTTTGAAATACTTGTTATGGTTTTTCCTACTGTCTCAGCCCCCTACAATTTCAAGTACCGAGGATGAACTTGGATTGCTAGTAGCGGGCTTAGGTGGAAGAGTTGGTGTTGAGGATTAATTATTTATTTTAGAGATGTTGTATTAATTTTTTGAGGAAATTGATTTTGTATCAATAAAATGATATTTCTTTTTGAGATGCTGGGTGTAATACTGATGTGTTTGGATTTGTATAAATCGAGGATTTTATTTGGAATTTTCGGGACGTGACAGAAAGGTATCAGAGCATGTACCCAGTCGGAAGCGTGAGTTTAGTGATGATGTTGTTGGGTGTGTGTGGACGAGTGTTTAGTTCTGACTAGCTACCACTCGTAGTCGGGTGCGTGTGTCTGGATGTCGCTCACTGGCAGCTACTAGAATGATTACTATCGGTGATTAGGGGCAAGTGTCCCTAGATCACTATAGGTTTTATTTTGTGGGCGGGTGACGGCATCGTCTAGTTACCACAACGGTTATAGAGTGTGTGGGCGGGTAACTAGCACTGTTAGCTACCACAACATTTTTCATATCACTGAATTTCACATCGCCTGGGGTAAGAATTTTTGGATTTTATTTTGCCACTTTTGATGTTTTCGGGTATGCGAAGATTGTTGGATCTGAATTTCGGGACGAAATTTTTTTTAAGTAGTGGAGAATGTGACAACCCAGATTTTTTTGAGAATTGAAATTCAATTATTTTATAATTTTTAGTTGTTAAAATTAATTAATTTAATTAGAGACTTCCCAATTAGAGATTGGCTCACTGATTATTAAATTGGAGACTGATTCATGTTTTTCAATTTAATGAAATTGATTTTTTAGCATCTAGGGGAGAGAAGTCATGGGTGCCGAAATTGGTGAAAGGAAACTTGATTGGATTTTGGTTTCTATTGCAATTGTGTGCATGATATATTTGATAAGTTGCATCTGTTTGGTGAACAATGATGATCTGGTGCCGAATTTGAGTGGGAAGAGAAAGAGATTGAAATGGTATTTTGTGGGGCCACGAGGAAATGTTAATGGGTTTTATTGCATTGATATATATATATATATATATATATATATATATATATGTGGTGTATCTGTTAAAGCAAAATGGAGTGATTAATTTGTGATGATGAAGGAAAAAGCAAAAACAAAATATTGAAATTGTAATGGGGCCCACTAATTGATTCTTTGTTGGCAATTATTATTTTTCTTGGACTCTAACGTGGCCATGTTTCTCTTTGGTAGCTGGGCTTTGTGTTTTATCAGAGACATTGTATGTTGAATAAAATGAATTGAGATGATAAGGTAAAGGACGGTGGTAGCGGGTCCACTTGTTTTTCTTTTAATTGTCCTTTGATATTTTATGTCGGTAGAATGCTTTATAAATATTGAGTGTCTGTTACTTGATGAGAATGATATATAGAATGAGAAAAATAGAAGAAAAATTACGTGGAGTTTAGAGATACAGAGAGAGAGCCGAGAGGGCTGAGTATTTGATGCAAGCTTGGATGATCCAGTACAGATTTATGTTGCACTGCAGGGATCATCATACCTTGAATGGTTTGGATGATTTTATTTCAAATATTTTGTTGATTGTTATTTTGTTAAAATTGCATATATGTATTTTGTTTAAAAACATATATATATATATATTTTTGTGAAGCAAATTTATCATAAAACTCTTTGAAATTCTTGTTATGCTTTTTCCTACTGTCTCACCCCCCTATAGTTTCAGGTACCGAGAATGAACTTGGATTGCTAGTAGCGGGCTTAGGTGGAAGAGTTGGTGTTGAGGATTAATTATTTATTTTAGAGATATTGTATTAATTATTTGAGGAAAATGATTTTGTATCAATAAAATGATATTTTTTTTTGAGATCCTGGGTGTAATACTGATGTGTTTGGATTTGTATAAATCGAGGATTTTATTTGAAATTTTCGGAACATGACATGAACTATCCACCTACTTACTTCTAACTAATTTTGCAGTATAACTCGTCTTCCTTAAGCATAGCCTATGAAAATATTCATTCATGAAAAATATTGGAACACCATTGCATGATCTCTATTCTTAACGTCGAGAAGCCCTTATGCTGTCATCTCGTACATTAAGAATATGTTAAGAATAATTAAAAAGCAATTAATTCTGTTGACCTTAAGGATTTCATCAAATGACAATCTAGATGTTTTGATGATAACAAACCATTAATGGTGTTTAATGGCTAAAGCTTACATTGAGTGTTATATAGATTATTTACATTCAAAAAATGACGTCAATGAAGTTATAAAGATCATTCCAAGTATTCCATTATTAAAGATCACATCAAGGAAATAAATGTATACAAAGAAGACTTGAAGTTGCAAGAAATCAAAATGTAAAGTCCATCCAAAGATAGCTTGGACGATAATAAGCAAGCAAGCAACTCAAAGAAAAGAAGAAAGCAAGAGTACCTCAAAGCCTAAAGATCATGGACAAAGCATGAAGAAAGGGGTAGATAGGATGGTGAGTGTTTAGGATTCAATGTTAAAGTATTTATGAATCCATTTGAAACTTATCTCTATAGGATCATGCATATAATCATTATCATTCATATGTTCCTATATCCATTAGCAATATACTATAAACTTCATTCATTTATAATTGACATATAGAGTCTTTGTTAAAGAGTGAGTTAATTCAAGCTTGCTTAAGTTTTAAAATAACTCATCACTTGTGCTAGAAATGCTAAGACCATGCACATTAATCATATAATTCATATTCGTCAACCATTAAGGCATATAAAGCCTTTATTACTATGAGTTGGTAACAGACATTAGGACCCTAGAATGCGCGTCATGAAAAAATGTGTTTTTTACGAAGTGTGAAAAATGAATTTTTGAAATAATGATTATTTTAAAATAATTTTTCCCAGTAATAACTCCTTATACTTTAAATAGCCTAAACTGATTTTATCAAAATTTATGACCAAGTCTACATTGGTCTACATAAGGATTCATTTTTACCAAAACTGTCAGAAATTCAAATTTGTACTAAAACTGAATTTTTACATTTTGATTTAATTGGATTTCAATTTTCTTATATTTTTTATTGAATCCAAATGAGGGGTACTTCCTTATTTACATTGTAAACTTAAAGTAAATGGATATATTTACAATGAAAATAAGGTATGCAGAAAGTCTGGTCGAAAGTTTAACAGAAAGTCTGGCAAAAAAAGTCTAAACTGAAAACAAAACTGTCAGGACAGATTTTTTGTCTGTCAGCCAACTGGTGATTATGCCCACTATGTGACAGCCGGCCGACAAGAAAACAGAGAGATGGGATTCTTAAACCCATCGTTTCAGCCGACCGAGGATTGGTCATCAGCCGACCGACAAGGAGCTTTTGGCCGATCGAAAATGTACCATCAGCCGACTGACACAAAGACAGATTTGAAATAATGAATAGTTTGACCATTTGACTTCATGGAAATTTACCATTTTGCCCCTAAACTGCCATGTTCTTCAATAGGGTTATAAATACATAATTTTTGGACATTGTGGGTATGCAAGAGAGCCAATACTTGAGAGACCTTATTAGACATTAAAGAGACCTTTTGTTCTCACATTTTCTCTTCGTTTCTCTCATTCATTCATATACTATACTTAAGAGATTCAACTAAGGATTCAGAGAGCTTTTGCTCTATTCTATACTTGAGAAATCCTACCATTTCTTATTCATATCATTCATAGAGTTAAAGCTTCACTTATATTCATTAATACTCTAGTTGTGAGCTAAAATTTGAACATCTATCCTTGAGAGATTTCTTGTACTTCCTTGTTCTTGTTACTATCTATTGTAAGGGTTGGTTTGACCCACCGGGTTGGTGTGACCCAAAAGAAGACAAAGGGAAGATTGTTCTCTTAGCAAGGTGAAGTAAGGAGTTGCTTCATATAAAGGTTTTCTCTCCACCCATAAGGAGAATCCACAGTGGATTAGGAAGTCTTAAGAGAAGTCTTGAGCCGAGGAGTAGGAGTTTCCGAATCTCGCTAAAATTGCCAAGTCATTGTTTGCAATTTCTCTTCCTTTATCTCTTTTACAATTGTACTATTAATTGCTTAGTTTCATATCTTGAATATTGTATAATTGCTTAAGTAGTTTATTAAAAATTATAAATCTATAAATTGCGAAAGTTGGCCACCGACTCTATTCAATTCTTGGTTAACAAAATCTAAGACAAGATATTTGACGATTCCTCTTCTATGCGAGATAGGAACAAGAACTTTTAATGTGAGAGGTCGCTTCACAAGGTTAAATGATGAATGTGGTTTAGGAAGCCCTTTTAGTCAAATTTACATTTATAAAACCACTACTACTACTAATGAAGCATAGTGAGTAGGGATCGTCCACAGGGATTAAACACGTACTTGGAATTTAACTTTGAATCTAGTGGATTACAAGATTTCAAAGAGAGGGTCTGGTTGACTATACTAGAGTTCAATTAACATAAAATGCAAGTAAATTAAATTAAGTGAGCTAGGGATTTAAGAGATGAGAAAAGAGGGCTTAAGGCGTAGGAATCACCACCAAGCTCGTTCACTAAACCACATATTTTTAACTAATTGGGGAAAACATTCTTGTGAACAAAATGTAACTACCAATTGCGATATTAAGCATGAACCATCAAATTCAAGCATGAATTGTCTACCTAACCAACAAATAAGCTAAGTGTAGCACAACCCATCAAGTCTAAGCATGACCCATTAAATTAGTAACAATTGTAACACATATCAATCTAGAAAATCATGGAATTTGCAATAATAAGCTATGTAATATTAAATTCAAGCATAGATTGTCTACCAATAACAAGTAAACTAATATGTAGCACAACCTATTAAGTTTAAGCATAATCCATCAAATTAATTGACAAATTCATTCAATGAAAACCATGCATAGCCATCACTAGATCCTTAATCAACCACACATAGACATGCAATAATTAATATAGAAAAACTAGTGTAGAGATCAATTCCTAAATAATCACATATAAAACAATATGTAATCACATAGAGAATCAATAGGAAAAATTCGTTTTTTACACTAGACTAAAACACTAATCATAAGATAACTTTCCTAAAAAGTTAAAGAGAAAGGGTTTAGATTACAAACTTGGGACTCATCTAAGCCACAAGGAGAAGTCTAACCAATCATTAAGGAGGTAGATGTGATCATGAAACCCTCAAGGGTTATCCCCAAACATGGCTCTATCTTTTTCATATTATTCTTTGTTTAATTCTAGAGAGAGAGTGTATAAATCTTGAGATGTGTTTTTGATACCTCCACTCTTATCTTTCTTCTAATCTTAATCTCTAATTTTTCTAGTACCAAAACTAATGAAAGTATAAAGTTACAAAATAAAAATGTAAGATCCCCTAACAATGGGTTCATTTTGCCTCTGATACTCCGGAATAAATAAAAAAAATAAAAAAAATTTACTTTGAGACTTTGCGGATTTTAAAAACTCTTCACAAACTGGTTACTAACCTAATCCTAAATCCAAACCCATTTCAAGTGAGACGGATGGAGCGGGCCCCGCAGGCTGGTTAAATTGACATCCGGACAGCGTCTCACCATACCCCTCCAAAGATTTCAGGCGAGAGCCTCTCAGTTCTTCCAAGGTGCGAGTGTCTTCTCAGTTTTGTAATCACAAAGTTATGAACAAAAAGTTTTGAGCTTTGAGGTTATATATACGAACAACACAATACATGCACCTATACTTCCTCTCTACATCTGATTTTCCTGTTGCTTTTGTTTTGGTTCTTTATCGGATGCATTTCATATCTATATCTCTCTATATAATTACTGGTTCAGGGCTGAATCTTTAATTTCGTTTTAATGGAATGCGACTCTCTCTCTCTAAAAATGCGTTGCCCACCACCTATTTTTCGTGGTCTCTTGTCAAGCGTCTACCCAATACCCAATACTTATGTGGTATTCCAAAACAAACCCATTTCAAGACAGTTGGTGTTTTCTGTTCGATTTGGTTCATCGGCTTGTGCTGCTCTGAAATATGTTGAGTCAAACCAGCAGTCAACTAATTTGGATTTTGACAATAAAAAGAATTCATCATATCTACACAATGGTGGGTTTAAGAAAATACCAAGTGGGTTGTGTAGTTCTGATTGGCCCAATTCAAAATTTTCGAGCAATGTGTTGGAAAGAGATGCAAGAAGTGTTGGAAAGAGGAATTTAACTAGGTTTGATAATGGTCGCATTGTAAACATTGAAAGAAAGAAGAGGCTAAAATGGTATTCAGGGGTGATCCGTGATTGTACTTTGGTCCGGTCTTTGGATGAGGGGAGTGCAATTCATGGGCAGATCATCAAGAGTGGAATAAACGTGGATTTGCATTTGTGGGTCTCCTTGATTAATTTTTATGGGAAGTGTAGGAGATTAAATTCCGCACGACAGGTGCTCGATGCAATGCCTGAACGAGATGTTGTGTCTTGGACAGCACTAATTGCAGCATTTGTAGCTGAAGGGTATGGCAGTGATGGTGTCATTTTGTTTTGTGAGATGCGGAAGGAAGGTGTTAGGCCGAATGCGTTTACCTTTGCGTCTGGTTTGAAAGCTTGTTCTATGTGCTTGAATTTAGAGTTTGGAAAGCAAATACATGCAGAGGCAATAAAACGCAGGGCCTTTTCGGATATATTTGTTGGGTCTGCCCTTCTTGACCTTTATGCAAAATGTGGTGAGATGGAATATGCAAATAAAGTGTTCTTCTGCATGCCCGAGCATAATGCTGTATCATGGAATGCGTTGCTCAATGGATATGCTCAGATGGGTGACGGGGAACAGGTTTTGAAACTGTTTTGTGTTATGAAAGAATTGGATATGAAGTTTAGCGAGTTTACTTTACCTACCGTCCTCAAGGTTTTTGCAAATTCAGCAAATTTGAAAGCTGGCATGGCTGTGCATGCTATGGCAGTCAAGATTGGGTGTGAAGTTGATGAATACATAAGTTGTAGTCTTGTAGATTTGTACTCCAAGTGCGGGCTTGCAGATGACGCACTTAAAATATTTATGAGGATTAAAAATCCTGATATAGTGTCATGGACTGCAATAATCAGTTGCCTCGATCACCAGGGTCAGAAACTAGAAGCAGCAAAACTATTTTGCTTGATGAGGCGTACAGGTTTGCAACCAAATAATTTTACCCTTGCTAGTCTTGTTAGTGCTGCCACTGATCTGGGTGATCCTTATTTTTGTGGAAATATCCATGCCTGCATTTACAAATATGGCTTTGAATCTGAAAATTTAGTCGGCAATGCATTGATTGCAATGTACATGAAAATGGGATCCTTACATGATGGTTACCAAGTTTTTGATGCATTGAAACATCAGGATGTAGTTTCATGGAATGCCCTCTTATCTGGATTCCATGACAATGAAATTTGTGATGAAGGGCTTAGAATATTCAACCAAATGCTTGTGGAAGGTTTCAAGCCCAACATGTACACATTTATAAGCATTTTAAGGTCTTGTTCCAGCCTCTCGAATGTTGGGTTTGGGAAGCAAGTGCATGGCCATATTATCAAGGACAACCTTGATGGCAACGGTTTTGTAGGTACTGCTCTTGTTGACATGTATGCCAAGTGCCGGTGCTTGGAAGATGCAGAAGTAATTTTTAACAGATTGAATGAAAGAGACATATTCACCTGGACAGTGATCATTTCTGGTCATGCACAGATTGATCAAGGGGAGAAGGCTGTTCAGTACTTCAGTAAGATGCAAAAAGAAGGTGTTAAGCCCAATGAGTTTACTCTTGCAAGCTGTTTGAGGGCTTGCTCTGGGATAGCAAGCCTTGAAAATGGGCGGCAGATCCATTCCTTGGCAATTAAGTCAGGGCACTTTTGCGATATGTTTGTTGGTGGTGCACTCATTGATATGTATGGTAAATGTGGTTGCATAGAAGATGCTGAGATTGTTTTTCAGGGTTTAGATTCACATGACACAGTGTCCTGGAACACAATCATATGTAAATACATGCAACATGGGCAGGGAAAGAAGGCTCTTGAAGCTTTTAAAAGTATGTCAGATGAAGGTGCCATTCCTGATGATATTACATTTATAGGGATTCTTTCTGCATGTAGCCACATGGGTATGATTGAAACAGGGAAAAAGTATTTCAACTCAATGAGTGAAGTGTATGGAGTTACTCCTTCAATTGACCACTATGCATGCATGATTGATATTCTTGGTCGGGCAGGCAAACTTGACGAGGTCAAAAGTTTCATTGAGGGGATGGAGCTAACTCCAAATCCCTTGATCTGGGAGACTGTTCTTGGAGCCTGTAAGATGCACGGAAATATTGAATTTGGTGAATTTGCCGCAAACAAGCTTTTTGAACTTGAACCTGAAAGTCATACAAATTATATATTGTTATCCAACATATTTGCAGCAAAAGGGTTGTGGGATGATGTTTCAAAGGTTAGGTCACTGATGTCCAGCCGGGGTGTTAAAAAGGAACCTGGTTGTAGCTGGGTTGAGGTTGATGCTCAATTCCATGTTTTCTTGTCTCAAGATAGTTCACATTCAAAGACCAATGAAATATATCAAAAGTTGGAGGATCTGAGTGAACAACTTATTTCAGTGGGCTATATTCCGGACATGGATTATGTGCTACATAAAATTACTGACAGAGAAAAAAAGAAAAATCTCTTGTATCATAGTGAAAGGTTGGCTCTAGCATTTTCCCTTATAAGCAACAATCCACATAAAACAATTAGAATATTCAAGAATCTCCGTATATGTGGAGACTGCCATAACTTTATGAAGCTCATTTCAGTCCTTGTGAACCGGGAAATAGTTATCCGTGACATCAATCGTTTTCACCATTTCCGTAATGGTACCTGCTCCTGTCAGGATTATTGGTGATTTTTATCTGCAGACATTCAGTGGGAAATGTATATGTGCAGTAAAGATCTAAAATATGGGCATATTCCTTAAAATTAAAGCTGTGGCTTAGTGCCATAGTTATCAGACTAAGAAATGTCGGACTGTTGTTTATGAGGATAGCGGTTGTCCAGGTATTGTTCCTGCATCACTGTGCTTTTTATGCAAAATACTTTTGGAGTCGCAAGTGTTGCTCACATGTTACTAATATTCATGCGAATGAATGGTAATTGCACATTTATGCTTTATTCATTGTTTTATTTATCTAATTTTATTTTGTGCTCTCCTTTTCAGGTATGAAAATTGAGATCATAATTGAACTCCTTTGTTTTGTGAGGCTGAACTTTGCATTAGGTGAGCATAGTTTAATTCCTGAATGTGTTTCTCTTGTAAACTCCAGTTTTCCATTTTGGACAGTTTCCCCTTGTAATTCTTGTTTCTATTTGAAGATGCAAGAAACTCCTTCTATTCTTTCTCTCTCTAGAATTCTTACACCTCAACCCGAATCAAGATCCCCATCCTCTTCATTCCAACTCCTATTTATAGATATTTACAAGATATTTACAAGATATTTACTAATTGCTGGACCTGGGCCTATTCCTCAGTAAGCCCTGGTCACTCTTGATGGGCTTACTCCCGCTCGGCCCATATGGCAGTGTCTTTTTATGGGCTGACCCAGCTGTTCGGACTGAAGGTTGTGTTTTGCGAGTCGGACCTGGCCCATGTCATCCAGGGCCTCCTCAACTGCCCCCATAATTGCCCCTTATTAAATAAGGGGTAATTATTGATGGCGTCTCATCATGACGCTGACGGCTCGAGATAACCACGTGGGGGAGCGAACGGTCAGATCCAGAATCAATGTTCCGGGGTTCGAGGGATTTCTTGCCTTCCCGACGCTTCGGCCCTCGGGCCCCCTTGCCTATATAATGCTCTCGAATTCCACTTCACTTCCCTTTACCGTCTCCATCATCAGCCAAATCTCCCTCTTTCTAGAACTGTGCTAAGCCTTTTCCGGTGAAATCCTTCGAGAGTCATTCTCCCAGCGATCTTGCAGTCCTCCGAGGTTAGTTTCGTTCTTTTTACTTTCGGCAGGCTTCCATTTTCCCTCTTTTAGATTCTTCTTGCACTTCCACCATGGTTGTAGATCTGGGTGTCCTTCGTATGAGACTTAGGCTTCCTGACAACATCGTAGTTAGGGTTTGCCCCCAAGACGTTAATATTACGACCGGCGCCGGCCTCCTGCCCGGCGAAGTCTTATTCACAAACCTTCAACTGAATGTTGTTAGGTTCCCTCTGCACCCTTTCTTTAGTTACGTCTTCAACAGATTGGGGATATCCCCTCTGCAGGTCAACCCCAACTTCTTTAGGATCATATCTGTTATGCTCTTATTGATGCGTGACAGAAATCTGGACCTTGACCTCATAGACCTCCTTCTGTGCTATAAGGTCAGTAAGATCCGTACTAACGAGCCCTTCTACCACCTCTACCCGTTCGAGAAGATGTCCATATGCACTGACACAATAAAATCTGAAAAGGGTTGGAGGGATAGCATAGTGGGTATTAGTGGGGCTTGGTCTTCGCCGGCTGCAGAGGATTACCCTATCCCGAGCGCCTTTGGTGTCTGCTCTGTCTCCTCCTATAAAAAATTCAAATCCCATAAACACGACTGCCCCTGTGAAACATGCGTTCCTCGTTTTTGCACTTACTTATGCCGCTCCTTGGGAATACCTTGTGATGACTTGAGCTACAGTGTTTGCAGGGATAGGACCAACTACTTGAAGAGATACGTTCTGAACGATATTCCTTCCTGCTCAGATCTCCTCACTTCAGACAACCTCTTCGCGCTCTCATCACTCGGCTACAATATGAGCAGACTGCAGATTCCCTCTTTTGGCAGGAGGAAAAATACTCCCCCAGTCATTCCTGCTGCTGGGGCGACCTCCTCTCCAGCGTCGGCTTCTTCTTCAGCCACCATATCTGACACTGCCCCGAGCGCAGTGGCTACTAACCCTGCTGCCAGCGCCCCTGCGGCCAACCAGAACGCGCCCTCCCCAGCTACCATAGCTCCTGCTGCTGCGGGGGGCGGTCGGGACAAAGAGCGAGGCAAAAGGCCTCATCCTGACAGTGAAATCGACCCTGAGGAGGAGCCTCTTATTAGAAGGACCCGAGTCTCTGGGCCGGGTACTCTCTTGCACCGAGCGATCAGAGCTCCTTCTCACTCTGGGCCTCCTGCAGCTGGTGGCTCTGCTTCTGCTTCAGGCCCCCCTTCTATCCCCAGCTTGCCGCCATGGGCCCCTCGGTACACTCGAACGGATGGGACGTTCGTGAAACCGAACGAGACCATGCTGAAGGATGGCCAGACCGCTATGGCCTACTACAGGAGCATGTGGACTCCGAAGGACATTGAGGCGGCAAAGGGCCTTTCCCAGAAGGACGTGTTCAGTCGCTTTCCCCAATCTGCTATGGAGGTGACTTTTATTTTCTAACTCATGAATTCTCTTATATTACTTGGTCTTGCCTTCTCCCGTTCTGACTATCGGTTTAACCGTTCTTATTGTGTACCTATGCAGACATTGTTTGGGATGATGGCCATGCAGAAGCAGGTGGAAATGGGGAACGCCAGGGCCCGAAAGTATTCTGACAGCCTGGAGGTGGCTAATAAAGAGAACGACCTCCTTGCCATGAAGAATACCGAGGCGCTGGTTCGGCTTGACAAAGCCGAGCAAGAGAGAGATGTCCTGAAAAAGGAGAATGATTCCCTTCAGGATGAGAAGGACGCCCTCCAGCTCGAGAAGAGCGTCTGGCAGACTGAGCAGGAATCACTCAGAGAAGAGAAGGCAGAACTCCAACGTCTTCTAGCTGATGAACAGTCTGCTCGGATGGCTTTTGAAAAAAGAGCTCTGGACGAGCGTACCGCTCTGATCGACGTTATCAGCAGAGTGGGTGGTGGGATGCTGGCCCTTCATGCTCGGTTCTCCAGGGTCGGTGCTCTTCGGTATGCTCAAGGATTCCGGGAAGGCTTCGCCGACCGGGTTCCGGATGAGGGACAGACCAGCTCCACTCCGGATGAGGTAGACAAGGATCTGGGGATCGAGCCTCTGGGGGTTTATGTCGACCCAGAACCCACCGAAGCGGAGCGTATATTTGATGAGTGCCAGGACATCGCATCCTCAAGGATCATCACAGCTCCTCCTGCCACTCTGCCACTGACCGCTCCCCAATCGTCGACCGTGGCTCCCTCTGTAGCCACTGCTGACGCTGAACCCCAGCCGAACAACTCAGTTATTCACCTGGATTCCCCACCTCATGAAGGTGAGGCGGCTGATGGGGCCGAGGAGGCGAGTCGGCAGGACCAGGATGCTGTTGGTACTGAGGCGTCTAGCTAGGGCTCCTTCGAATTCTTCCAGTTCATATCTTCTTGTAATGATGGACACCTCTCTTTTGTAAACTAAATGTTCAATATTAATGAAATGGCCGAACTCTTTTTCTCTATGTGGTGTGCTCTGTTCAACTTATCTTCAGTACATATATATCTTTTCTCTCTTTTTCTTTTTATATTAGTTTTGCTGTGTGTTTGTACGGCAAGTGCCTGGCGCTCGGCTAGAATGCCACTTGCCACTTGGCTTTAAATTTTTAGCAAGTGTCTGGCGTTCGGCTTATAGTGCCAGCTGCCACTTATCTTGCTTAAGTGCCTGGCGCTCGGCTAGAATGCCACTTGCCACTTGGCTTTCAATTTTTAGCAAGTGTCTGGCATTCGGCTTATAGTGCCAGCTGCCACTTATCTTGCTTAAGTGCCTGGCGCTCGGCTAGAATGCCACTTGCCACTTGGCTTTCAATTTTTAGCAAGTGTCTGGCGTTCGGCTTATAGTGCCAGCTGCCACTTATCTTGCTTAAGTGCCTGGCGCTCGGCTAGAATGCCACTTGCCACTTGGCTTTCAATTTTTAGCAAGTGTCTGGCGTTCGGCTTATAGTGCCAGCTGCCACTTATCTTGCTTAAGTGCCTGGCGCTCGGCTAGAATGCCACTTGCCACTTGGCTTTCAATTTTTAGCAAGTGTCTGGCGTTCGGCTTATAGTGCCAGCTGCCACTTATCTTGCTTAAGTGCCTGGCGCTCGGCTAGAATGCCACTTGCCACTTGGCTTTCAATTTTTATAGTAGACCATTGGAAAAGAAAATTCTTCTCTTCTTTTTTTGTAAACTCCGGTAACTTGCTCATTCATATGTATTTGATTAACAACAAATAACATCCAATTAAAACCAGAACTTAGCTTCTATTGATAGTACCTCTTCAGAGACGTGGCGTTCCAGGGCTTGTTGACCAACTTTCCCGCCATGGTTTCCAACGTATATGCCCCTTTGCCAATGACTTCTGCAATTCTGTACGGGCCTTCCCAGGGTGGCATCATTTTTTTGACCATCCCCACCTTTCTTTTCAGAACCAGATCGCCCGGGGCAAAATCCCTGTGTTTTACTCTCTTATTGTGACTATTCGCCAGCACTTGCTGATACGATGCTAGCCTTATAGCCGCTGCGTCCCTCCTTTCGTCTATCATGTCGAGGTTCAATCTTAACATCTTGTCGTTCTGATCTCGACTCCATGCTAAGCTTCTGATAGTGGGGACTAAATGCTCAACCGGTATAACTGCTTCGGTACCATACGCCATCGCGAACGGGCTCTCCCCAGTCGGCCGCCTTGGGGTGGTTCTGTAAGCCCATAGAACGTTCGGGAGTTCATCCAACCACTTCCCCTTATGATCTTCCAGCTTCTTCTTAATGCAGGCGAAAATGGTTCTGTTTGTGATTTCTGCTTGTCCGTTAGCCTGAGGATGACTTACTGCAGCCAACTTCTGGTTGATTCCATACTCCTCCAGCAGCTTTCTTACTTGCCTGCTGTCGAGGTTTGTGCCATTGTCCATGACTATTGTTCTGGGAACACCGAAGCGGCAGATAATGTTGTTCCAGATAAATCGTCTCACCTGAGTCTGAGTCACGCTAGGATACGGTTCTGCCTCCACCCATTTAGTGAAATAATCCGTGGCCAGTAACACATACTTGTTCTGAGCTCTTGCAGTTGGCAGAGGACCGACCACATCCATCCCCCATTGCGCGAAAGGCCACGGCGAGGCCATTACGTGCAATTCTTCAGGTGGTTGGTGGATCATTGGTCCATATCGTTGGCACTTATCGCACCTTCGAGAGAACTCCTCCGCATCTCTTGACATGTTTGGCCAAAAATACCCTTGTGTCATTGCTTTATGCGCTAACGATCTTCCCCCAGAATGATTGCCACACACACCCTCATGAATAGCTCGCAATACCTGCTGCGATTCCGCGGGGGTGACACATTTCAAGTA